ATCTATCTATCTATCTATCTATCTATCTATCTATCTATCTATCTATCCTCTGTTTTCTATACCATGGACTCCTGTTTTTTAATGTAGCATTATGAATACATAAAATATGTGCTAATAATGTTTCATCGCTGTTTTATTAGCAATTCACACAGCTTCACAACATTTTTAGAACTGGGGTCAAATGCATGCGTAGTCTGAAGCTCACCAGGAGAAAATGTCCAAACAGGTTAGTGGCAAAGACTTCCTGTAGACCATCTGAGTTGAGACGGTCCTGCTGGGTTAAGAGCCCTTGTGCTGTCGCAAACATGTTGACGACGTTCCTGCAGAGATGAATGTCGGGGACGTTAATAACGAGGACCAGACAATTTCAAAAAGTCGATTTCCTCAAGTTTACCTGGAGAAAAGACCTTTGAAAAATGCTCCGATGTCCACAGTTGGGTTCGGCATAATGCCTGCATTCAGATACAAAAAGTCAATACTGCTATATCTGTGGAAACACACAAACAGGCATTAGAGATCAAACAATTAGAACGCCTTCTTCCATTTTTCTCGCATTGAGGTCATGAAAGGGCACAGCGTGGATCAAAATCAGGGGTTAGGGTCTCCGTTCTCTCACCTGCTCTTGATCTCCTTAGCGGCACTGAGCACCGACTGCACGGACCCCACATCGAGGTGTAGCAAATCTATCCGGGCGCTGGTTTGAGAGCTCAGGAGGGCGGAACGGGCGGCTTCAGCACGCTGCATGTTTCTGCAGGCCAGGCACAGTCGCAACTGGTTGTTGGCAGTGAGGAGCCTTTCACACAAGGCCAGGCCGATGCCGCTACACAAACACACATGAACACAAATGAACACCTCCAGTCATATCCAAAAAACAACTAAAAAGTCAAATATTAAGTCAATGAACGTGGTGAAAGAAGAAGTAAGGCAGGTCTAATACTTGTTAGGCATTTTGAAGGTGCAAACTACTCTTCATGCATGATTTATTTAGATTTATTCAGGTTTACTGAATATAATTTACTGATGCCTGATATTATTAAAAAAAAGTGACAGAGGGTGCTATTGAGTGTTGCCCCTCTCCTAACTGTGTGCTAAATTAAATTGGTAACAAGAATATAGCTTCCCGCGGGAACAAACGAAGAGCTATATAACAGCTTAGATGTGTTCCTTTCAGCTTATGGAAGATTTAGAGGCTGTTAATCTCTAAAAAGTAGATCCCATCTCCCTCTGAGAAGCAACACTTTCTTCTGACAGCCCAACGATTTACATTTCAGTATTACTTTTTAAACTCTGCTCGTGTTTTATTACGTTAACCTTTTTAAAGCTCGAACTCTCTTTTTGTTAGCTTACCTGTTCGCGCCAGTTACAAGGACAACTTTCTCCATATCTGAGCGGTTGTAGCTTAAAAGTAAAGAGTTGAGGTTCAGAATAACTCTCACGACCGCTTTGTTATCTGTCCAGCTGTGGTCGAACAGCCCATCGTACGACGACACTGGAGGGTGCGTAGCCTATGTGAACGAGCAGCTACGTGGTGTGATTGGATGTCTACGGACAGCTGGCCAATCAGCTTTCACTATGGTGTACGAAGAGGCCCAAAAATATAAAGAGCACATCAACAAAACGGATAAAACCACAACGTATCGATGAAAAATAAATGACTGAATAATAATAAGAGAGTCTCATCGATATTCACAGGCTTTTGTAAATAGAAAAGTTTTGTTTTGCTTTCGAAATATTATTAATTGATGAAAAAAACTGCTTTTGGCGTTTAAGAACTTAGACTTGTGGATGAACGGTTTACAATATACCATGTACATACGTTGCTATATACGTGTTATTTTCTACTCTCAATCATTACTGAGAAAAAGTTTAGAAAACAAAAGACAAAAAGATTATTAAAAAAAAATCCAAACCTGGGATTAATAACAGTATAATTTCTCTGCACCTGCATTAAATAAAAAGTTAATATTCTTACAAATGTAATTTGTAATATTTAGTATATAGTTACCCTTTTGATATAAAATACATTTCCAGTCTCTTGTTTATAAAGGCATGTGCTAAAATTGTAAGTCAGAGCTACACTCTGATATGGATGCTCCCTCTTTAAGTCCTGGTCTATCTCACACAAGAACTATGCTTAGAGCTTTTCTTCAACTAGGGATTAGATAATTCATTTTTTCCCCACCACTACCTGCAGGTACTTCACTTAAAAATATATCTATCCAACTAAAGTTCTATGATGTTTAACCAAAAACACCCTTATTGAAGAAATTGATGGCACCGCTTGTTTCATACAGGACCCACTTTTTAAGATCATAGTTGTTAGATCAAGATGACAAAAAAAGCAGGTTGATAGAATATTCTTTATTGACAAATATCTTTGGTCTGACAGGTATAAATGCTTAAATGTTGTATTCTAATCAGCTTTGCACGGAATTAATTTCTGCAATTGTGCAAACAAGTGTTTATAAAACATAACAGATATTATTGAACAGTTAAAATCATTCTCATGCAGAACAGGTAATTATCATGCCATCCGTTTGTGTTTAAATGACCATGAATAAATGGAAATGTTAAAAAAAGGTCAAACACAGCAGCACTGACAGTCTCCTATGAAAGTGATATTCATTTCATGCACAGAAAGAGTAAAAAAATATATATTCACAACTGTGTTACTTGGGAGATCATGGTTCACTCTTTCAATAGTAAAGAATAATACACAGAAATAATAAACAGGCAGAAGAGTAAAGCCCCTTAAATTGCATATCTACAATATCAATTTTTCTTCAAGTGTATAATGTATTCTTCTTATATTCAAATATTTACAGCCCCGTTGTCAGATGACAAAGGACAAATGGCCTCTGACTTCAAATACATCCATAGGAAGAGTCAAATGAAACAGTTCTTGGTTGTCTCATCTGTTATGCCAAGCTCTCCTTCAGCTGAGTGTGTATCTTTTCAAAGCTCGGTCTTTGCTTGGCATTTCTCTTCCAGCAGCTTAGCATGAGGTCGCTGTAGACTCCATCAGGACAACATGGGGGCTTTGGCAGGTACACCTGGAGGCACAAAAAAACACAGGTCGATAAGACGATTATGAAAAGCTCCATAGGATGAATTATATTACACTTTTTAAAATGGAAAATGGATAAATCACACTTTGCTAAGTAAGACATAGGGGTAGAAACAAAGTGAATTCCTTTAGAGGCACCATGACTGATTAAGTAATACCCAGGAGGAAAGTAAGGAACACCAAAACTGTCATGTTTCCCCTCAGTGTCTACATGATTCAGCTTTAATCACCAATAAAGTAGTGAAAACATACAGACTTCTTACATTGGATTCAAACTGGGCACAAACCAGTGACTCTGGATAAAGCTAAATGAATGAAAATGTCACATTTTTACAATCCTTTCATGATGTATGTCAAGATGCTGACTGTCAAAAACATAAAATATGTTTTCTACTTTTTCAAAAATGATCATTAGCTGACCTTGTGTACTCATCTGTGGATCTGAATATGGATTCACTTTGCAACAATCTCCCCATGTTTTTTATATTTGGTTCGCCTAGATTATTATCATTTTTTAATGTTCTTTCTTTTTCTCCAAGGAATTATTGTGGGTGTGTGTTTGTTTGTGTATGTGTGGCCCTGTGATGGGCCACACCTGTCTAGGGTGTACCCTTCCTCTCTCTCCCTATGTCAGCTAGGATAGGCTCCAGCCCCTCTGATACGGTTCCTACTAGGAATAAGAAATATAGACCATGGATGGATGGATCTTTTTTCTTTTCTCCTATTTTATGTAGTAAAGGTAGCATTTTAAGGAGATTTTCACATGAATACTGGAAAAACACAGTTTTATTGGTATATGTTAGATGCAGTATATACATGGAAGATGCTCACCTGCTTGCCTTGGTCCCTGAAGAACTCGCCTGTGTTTTCGATAACCTGCTCATCAGATAGCTGGGAATAGGGTTGCTCCTTACACAGAGTGAGAATTTCCCATAGAGTCACTCCAAATGCCCACACGTCACTGGCCATGGTGAACTTACCCTGAGAGGAAAGCCATTAGGCAGTTTTGTGAATCTTGCACACGAATAGCCCTAACTACAGTTGCCCCCCTTTTGCCCATACCCATCTGTTCTGCGGAGGTAGGGAGCCCCTATTCATAAGAGGATAAATCTGTAGTGGTAATTTAGCCCTTCAGAGGAGGTGTTGGGCTCAGGTGAGGACCAGATGACCGCTATAACTTGAAGCGCTTGAAGATTACATTTGTTGTGATTCGGCTTGGTATGAATAGAATTGAATTGAATCCACAAAATAAAAGGGAGGTCTATGCCAGACAGATTTTAAACAGAAAGATCAAAAGCGGTCAGACGGCCAAAAGGGATCAGATGGCATTGAACACATGGAAAAAGTCTGGCTGTAACACGGGGGTTGAGTAAAGCAGACGAGCACTGCATAAAAAAACAACAGTATTTGTCGGCTTTGCTCACTTTTTGTACTTTTAACTCTCTGAATTCATTCAGTGGAATCCAATCGTGTCACCTTACACAAATGTGCTGTCATCAAAGTACCATTTTGAATGATTGATTTTTTAAAACTATTTTCTGGATGATGATCAAAAGACAGGAGAGAAAAAGCTCAAAGGCTTTTGGAGTTTAAAAACACACTTATGCCAAAAACCGAAGCAGGACCTAATGCTTGAACAGGGGAGTACTGTTTTCTGATCAGGTTGTCTCAGGTCCTCTGATCACTTACCAGGAGTATGCTCTCCCATGACATCCAGCGAATGGGCAGGACTGCTCGGCCCTGGATCCGGTAGTAGTCCCCCCTGTACAGGTTGCGACTCATGCCGAAATCAGCAATCTTTATGGTGTAGTTTTTCCCCACCAGACAGTTGCGGGTAGCCAGATCACGGTGGACAAAGTTGAGGGACGACAAGTACTTCATACCAGACGCAATCTGCACTGCCATGTCAATCAGTTTAGTGTAACTGCGGAAAACATGACACACACAGACAAGAACAAAGAAAAAAAAAGATTAGTGTCCTTGAACAATATATAAAGTGTCTTTAGGTCAGTCATTAGAATTGAGCGCTAAGTTGGGAACCTACCTAACCATGTCCTTCCCATCCTCTTTTTCTTCCTTTTCTTCATCGACGGCCTTCTTCAGTCTGAGACCACACAGGAACTGATTCAGGTCTCCATTCTCCATGTACTCAGTGATCATGCACAGAGGATCCGTGTCCACGCACACTGCCAACAGGCGGACTATGTTGGGGTCCCTCAGACGAAACATGATGCGGATCTCCTTCAGGAAGTCGTTCCTCCAGCCCAGCGGTGACAAGAAGTTAAAAGTTACCACTCCACCAACAGCAAATGAAACACAGCTGGAGCCAGGCGTGTTGGTCTCCTTTTCTTTTTTACCTTGCATTTTTGTTTGCGTCCTCCCGCAGTGTTTTAACGGCAACGAGCACGGGTGACTCACTGTTTCCCTCAATGGACAAATCCTCATCCAAATAGTCCAGCATGCCATCGGCCTCACATAAGTGCACCTGAGTGAACAATCAGTCCTTTTATCCACTAGATGCCTGTTGAAACCTTATATTTAATACCACTTAGGGTGCCCTATTTGTCAGTGAATAGCACAAACTCTCAGCATTTCACTCTCAGGTGCTTTTGCTACCCAACAAACTCTTTCAATCTAATACACGATGATACAGCTGCAAAGTGAGACCAGTGTAGTAATGGTAAGGAGAGAATATGAAGGCATACAAAGAAAGAAAAATGCTACTAAACTAAACATACTTCTCCAAACTGGCCCTCTCCAAGTTTCTCCTTGAAGGCGAGTTTCTCTCTTGGAAATTCTCTCATTGATGAATCGTTGCCAGCAAAGAGATTAATGTTGACAGCTGTGAGAGAGTGGACGCTGCCGTCCGAAGACTCCTGCAAACTGATGATATCTGCCTCGGCGTAGTGCGGAGCACCATCCGAACTGGCTGTGAGCGCTCTGCAAGACGTGCCAGATTCTGGAAGAAACAAACGCAAAGCAGGACCTGAGGCCTCGAGCTGACCTGCGAGGCGATCGGGGGGGCTCCTCCTTTTGCTGGCTTACTGTACCGAGATTCTCCATGGACTGTGCGAACTCGGGAAGTTTACGGATAAGGCGGGACGGCTCCTGGTAGTCGGCGCAAAGCGGGTAAATTCTTTCATAGGTGGAGTTTGGGGTGGAGCTGCCCTCGCTGGATGAGGATGAGTTATGGAAGGAGAAAGCCCGGGTCTGGATGGCAAGACGAGCTGTGAGTTCATCATCCAACAAGCGGCGTGACGCCTATATGTGTGAGAGTGTGTAGTTTATGTATTATTCATTACATACTCATTTCAGATGAATACAAAAACTGACTCTCATTTCTGATAGAAGTCTGTCAAATTGTTTGCGGCGATTGAGAGTTTTCAGTCACAAAGAAGACATTTTTCAGAGGACAAAGAGACTTCCACAGATTCTATTTAAAGTTCAGGAAACACCCAAATGGATAATTGGGAACATTAATGCAGAGTGTCTTAAAGCTGTTTCTCTTAACGTCACTCTTTTTAAAAGTTCCATTACTTGCAACAGACTTTAGTTTGGTCTTCACTATGTTTATATGCAAGTTGTATCCTAAAAACAGGAACAAATCCAAATTACCGACGCAGAAGTGGCCAGTTTTGCCTCATGCATTACAAAGGAAAAGGAAAAGTGATGAAGGAATCCTAGCTTGGATTGTCTTTTCATCAAGACAGGGTTATATATAAACATGTAAGTTTCAGAATTTAATAAGTCTTCTTACCTTCTCAAGCATCTTTTGCCAGACCTGCCGCCACAGGATGATGACTATGATAGTCATCAGGATAGCAATGATAGCCACCAGGCAGCCAATCAAGATCCTTGTGTTGCTATCATCCAGTTTGTGAGTGGGATCATCCCCTGACAGACCAGAAAAGAGTTGGAGGTCCAGATTAACCTAATGTAAGTTGTTATGATTTGTTCCAAATGCATTGTTAAAAAAGTCCTGAACAAATATTAAACAATTAAAGATGTCTTTAACCAGTGGTTTCTGAAAGCACCAACAGGGGGCACTGTTTAATTACGAAACTGTCACCATTCGAACTGAAGTGTATTAACAAGATCCATTAAAACTTAAATAAATTCAAATGTTGAATAACAACATATATTTAAATGTATATATAGATGAAAACGGTTGAATTAAGAAAATTGCAGCTTTGAGCTTAAAGAAAAGGATCATACTTGGGCCTATGTTTGGGCCGTGTCCAGGTTTGCGAGGATTCATGGATGTGTTGTACACAGCAGAGCCTGTAGGCAATGGAAACACAGGTGGACAATGCTGAACCATATTGAGCCGTCATGTTGTTAAGTTACAGGTGCCTGAGGAGCCACTCCCACCTGATCTATATTTACCTGATTGGAAGGCCACCTCACTGAACAGCATCCACAGGTCACTGAAGTGGAAGCGGCACTTGATGGTTTTGGCAGTGCGATCCCCGAGGGGCACGGTGACAAAATTAGCACTTTGGCTCATGTGACTGACAGCGGGCCTGAACGTCACAGGGTCAGCCTCCCATTCTGACCCTGACCGGAAGAAACAAGTGACCTGTCTGAACACCCTCACCCTATGGCTGACCATGTTGTTACAGTGAACCTGAAAAGGTGGGAAGCTTGTTTAGAGAACAAAACCAAGACACGTCCAATTTTTAAAAACCCGCAAATTACTATGTTACAGTCTTCATGAAACACGGAAAGAAAAATCTCAGTTACATGCCCTCTGTAAATTTTCTCTACAACTTATTATAGCCAAATTGAAAGTGAAACTAGCAGAGGGTAGGAGCTTTCCAGGAATGCCATTGCAGAGCTCCATGCTGGGAAGAGTTAGCTCAACGTTTTTATTTTTTAAAACCTGCTGTTCACAGAAATCCCTCCTTTGGTATGAGTGCTCACCTTCATGGAAGTGAAGTTCCGGATGTGGTCGAAATCAAAGATCATCTCCACATAACCTTTGGGGAAAGTCTTGTTGCTCCATCCTACGTAGTCGTAACCAGGCCACATGCCGTATATCCGGCTGTGGAGGAAATCATCCAGACCCCACGTCCCATCTGTGAGCTGGCCGAGGCCTTTGGTCAGTCTGTTGGAAGTATTCACAGATGAACAGTTAATCAAAAAATGAGAAAGTAACAAACACAAAAACATGATATAAACATGAAAAGTTGATATTTATTTTTATAGGTATGACCTACATAACTATTTATTTTAATAAATACTCTTTTCTGTCCATTTTAGAGTATATCACCCTGACCTTCTATGATTTAATGCAGATCTATAGATCTATACAATAATACAGACCTTTCAGATGTCAATCCATCATACACAGAATCATTAAAGAAGACATCCAGGCCCCTGTAGATCATTTGGTGTCCATCTGGAATGCTATAAGATACCAATCCATCTACAAATGGGCGAAAAATATTACAGATCAGTCATGATTTCTGTAGAGGCCAACATCTCTGGATGTTTTTTACATTTTTTTTAGCATGAGTAAAATGTTGATGGCGTAGGACACAACAGAACTTCCTATCCTGTAAACTACAAAGTTTATATCATGTATTATGAGACGATTTGTTGGTTATGACTAACCCAGCCATTCACAGCCGTAGAGCTCCACTCTCATGCACACAATCATGGAGTGGTCGGTGACGGGCATGAAACGAACAAAACGGGCTATGATGGGAGGCTCCAGATCCTTCAGAACAATGTCATATGCGTTTCTGTTGCCCTCGATGACCTGGCAGAGGAGAAGCAAGAGATGCTTTTCACACAGCAAAAAAGGTCACGGATTGACAACAAATTACGTTCACATTCGCATGGCTAACGATTCATATTGGTAAACAAAATCTCTGCATGTCATTGTGAAAAAGCAGAATTGTCTTAATCTCCTGAGACCCTGCTTTTTCATATGATTATGCTGCATTTTCCCTCTTTGTACTACTTTGTGTACTTGGAGAGACACACATTTTTAAGATCTAAATTAAAATGGTTTCGTTTTCAACCAATCATGTCTGTATTGTGAAAATACAATATTGTAATCAAGTAATTTTGATGCTCGGAACCAAATTGCAAAGAAAACTTTGAAATTCATAAATACATGTTCTGACAAAGAGACAGATAAACCCATTGTCCCTATATTAGTAAAACTACCATTACCATGACAATGTATAGTAATATAAATGAGAAAAAATATAAATTTATGAAGAGAAATTATTAATAAAGAGCTGATGGCATCAATAAATAAAAGAATAAACAAGACCTACAGCCTTTCTAAGGAGTCATTACAAAGCTGTTGCTATGTAAAGGCACCCTGTTGCTATGCCAGTGGAGATGAGGAAGCCTCTGACTGAACACTCTCTTTGTCAGTGTTTGTTCAATTTGTTGTGTTGGATGAGCAGTGGCATCCATTATTGTCTCATTCCTTATGACTGAATAACTTTTCACACATATTTGTACTGACAAAAAGTTAAAATATAGATCAATACAGTTGAATAATATGAGTACCGCAACTCTTTTTTCCTCTCTTAACATGTCAAGTAGCAAATAGTTCACCATCAATTATTTCTAGCATTGTTAGAATGTTTAGTCTCTTGAAACATATATAAACACATATTTTCAAATAAATGATTTTGACTTTTGTTTTCTTTGCAGTTGAAGCAAGTCAAGGATATGCTCATGCTGTAAATGTCATAGCATTGGTTATCCAATGGAATACTTAAAAAGTGGACATAAATTATTGGAATAATTAAATGAAAAGACAAAAGGAGCAACTGTATTCAGTAACATGTCCCTGCCATCTTTTATTCCATTTGTTTGTAAAGTCAGATATTCTCTGTCGTGTTGGAGGAAATCATGGTAGTCTGACATTTAGAGTCATGAAAAATCTGACCTGAACTATTTTTCAACTCCACGGTGTTATGTTATGTCCTGGGACAAATAGAACAATTCTGTTCCTTCTGTGGTCTAAACATGAAGTCCACTGCATTGCTGATGAAGAGCAATACTCATCATATATTCAACAAAAACTAAGTTAAAAGTCAACTCATCCTGTTTTATTTAGAAGGAGGATGAGTCGCCGCAAGGTACCGCTGAACTGGAAAATGTTCAAGACATTTCACGTTGTTTGTCTTTCCTGGAGTGAATTCCACAGCAAGTCAGACTGTGTAATGGGTGTAGAGTCTATGAAAAACTTGACGGCTACTTCTCATACTACAGCGGCTTCAGCAGGCATGTTAGAAAAAGAATAGGGAAATATTAAAAAAAGACATCCTCTCTCATAAAAGGGCAAATTAAGACCAAAGTCTGTTCATAATGCAGCATAGTCCAGCATGTCTGGACAAACACAAACACAGCATATCAGCACAACCCTGTCATACTAATTTGTGCACAGTGGTGGAGGACTGATGATTTGGGGTGTTTTTATTTGAAGCCACAAGACCCAGACCCCTCGCAGTGTCTGAGTCCACCATGAACTCCTTTGTATTTCAAATTATTTGAGAGTAAAACGTGGGATCAACTGTCTGACAGCTAAAGCTTAGTTTAAACTCGGTCGTAAACAGAACACAGAAGAAAATGCAAAACAGAAGGCCAGAAAAACAAAAGAAAAAGTGCCTGAACCTAAAAAAAAAAGAATCAACTTAATAGATTTGTGGGACAAAACTTCTCCACAATAATCAGAGACTGACATATCACAACTACTTCAAGTTAATGTTGCTGAAGGTGGTAAAACAAGCCTCAGAATTTGGGGGTGGAGTTTTAGTTTTTCTGTGTCAGTCCAGTATATTATGTTTTGTTGTCTAACTAGAGTTGGATCTCCCCAAAACCTTAGCCTATTAATCCTATTAAAACTTATCAAAAAAATATTCTGATGCACACCAAAATTGAACTGAATATCATCATTTTAAATACTAAAGCATGAGCAACGTATTTCAAATAACCATCATTCATTGAGACAAAGGAACAGTTTCATAGATTAGCAAACGGTGATACAGTTACATTCAGATTGTACCCACCTGGCCTCCCTTCCTGTCACGCCAACTCATCCAGTTGTTGCCATCACGGCTGTACTTGATCCTGTACTTCTGGGCAAACTCATTGCCCATTCCGTCCGCGTGGCGACCTTGGGTGCCCACCAGCGTGATGAAATGCAGCGAGCGCAGGTCCACCTGGAGGTACTCTTTCAGTCCGTCCTGCTCTGACATGACGTCAGGGCACCAGGCGCCATCGCCGTCTCCGTTGTCAAAGTTAAGTCTGAGGCAAAAGGGAAGGAAGGGTAAAGATACAAGAAACACCGTGCATGCAGTCTGATGAGAAGCTTCTCACGAGAGAGATGAAAAAAAACAATTTGCCTTCCAAATCTGGCAGCGGTGGACTCAGACCAGTGACTGGAAGCCGAGATGTCTTCATCCTGTATTTGCCCACCGTTCATACCCAGAGGATAGCGGCATATTTCTGCAAGCACACAGGGCACCACTGACACACATGTGGCAAACATTAGATGTATGTGTTTACGCACGTGACGGAGACAGGGTAAATGCGTTCACGTGTCATTTCTTTAACTTAAAAAAAAACGAAATATTTGCAGGACTTGAGGATCTGGAGTTAAGTGGTCAGGGCCCCGACCCCCTCCTCCCAGCCCTCTTCCTGCAGCCTCGCAAGGCCTCTAAAGTCAAACAGAGGTATCACTGTGTAGGTGCCAGTCCAAGCAAAATGAGAAGGGAGTGTTCTTCGAGCTAGTTGCTCTTCATCTTTCATGGATTTTCAGGATTTATTATTTTTATTACCACTGAAATGTGAGAAAAATATTCAACATTTCAAGAACTGATCGGCTTCTTTTTGATAAGTATGTTTGTAGCAAGTCTCATAGTGTTATTATAATTTCATTTGAATGCCTTTTTACTGGGCAAAGATAAAGTCACCTGAGAACTCCAGTTCATTCCAATCATATCCTTTTATTCAAGAGAACATTTGTGTTTTTATCAGTCTTATCAATTTCATCAGTTGAACAGAATTCTGTCTCGTACACTCTTAGGAAACAGACGAACAAGCAGGCTTTTGACTGCAAAAATATTCCAACTCATCAAATGAGAGCACATGAGTGTAAGGGACTGTGTGTATCACCTAGAAGTACACTTACAACTCTCTACTTTTTTCCCTCACAACCCCCCCCCCCCCCCCCCCCCCCCTGAACGCCCTGCTTCTTCTGATTATATTTGCTCTCTGACCATTAGTTAAACCACACACACACTATCTCAGACACACAAGCACACACAAACACATTATATTCCGACGTTTTGAGCCCACCCACTGAAACATGCTCCATCAAATTCAGGTTTAAAGCGACTTCGATCTCGAGTATTAAACTTGTGTTTAGTTCATACACCCCTTTGTTGGACAAACAAAAAAAGACTAAACCTAAAGAGTCACCAGGCTCCAGGAGGAAACAGAGTGGAAATGTCCTCGTTAACGTGTATATTAGTGTCTACCTGGGTTGACTTGAGCCTTTACATTCACAATCTGCAGGATAATGAAGACGTGGAGCGTGATCAGCTTGACCTCAATGATCTTCATGTCCTCAAGAGGTTGTTCTCCTGAAAGGAAGGTTTAGGATCATTAGGTAAGATAAGCAGTGCCACTGGCCTTGGGAGCACTTTAATTTATGGCCATACTTGAGAGAATGGTATTCCCACAAAGTAGGAAATAGTGAAGAGATTAGAAGACATTTTATTAATCAATTAATCAGAAAAGAGAGAAAAAAAACATAAATCTGTCCTTCTGTCCTTCTGTTCACAGCAAAACTCAGTCACCTTGATTTTCTTTTCATCTTGCAAAAGCCCTGTGAATGTAGTGCAGGAAAATACACATTTGTATTAATTTCGACTGCCGTTTCCAACCCTAACGCTGTGCTGTCGAGAACATTTTTTAAAGTTTTGTGTACATCTTGTGTACATGTCATGACAGCATTGGGGATCACAACTAAACATAAAATAGATTACACATTTTTATCAAAGTAAAATTCCAAAAATACAGAAATTTCTAAATGGCTGCTATCATGCCTTGTATCTCAAATGCGAATATTATCTGTTTTAATTTCTGTAGACAACTTTTGAGTATATTTTGGGGTTTTAATGCCAAAAGGTAAAATTGCCATCCTTAAACTGAGTCAAGCTTGCAGAAAAACTTCCTCTAAAGTAAACGAAGACACTGTGTACAAAGGCACATTTGAGGAAAAATAAAGTTTGACTTACTTTAAGCAAGTTGTTCTCGCCTTATTAAACAACCGGTCTTGAGGAGTGTTTCACATCTGTTGGGAGCTGATGCATTCAGCGCCGCAAACTGCTGACCTCTTCCTCCGAAGGACTTTCTGGGAATGGAAAAGAGGGAATCAGGAAGAGAGAAAGAGAGAGGGAGGAAACCGAGGCTGATGTAACAGTCTTCCTGGCTGAAGGAAATAAACTGAGAAAATAACATGCTTTGGGGATCTGAGGTGAGGCCAAAATCCAAGAATTCCCACCTGATCCACGAATGGTTTCAATTATAACCGAGGGAGGGAGCAGAGAGCTGCAGTGTGGGTGGCTACTTGGAACTCCTGACAGCAACAGACTGGGTGTCATTTCCTTATAAAAAAAAAAACATTGGAGGCAGACATGGCCAAAAATAATATGGTCCCAAAGAAAACAATTCCAAGGAGGTGCTCCCTTTCTTCTTAAAGAAGAAACATCAGCAGACTTTTGATGTGTTCTTAAAAAAGAAAATGAGCAGATGTCTGTCCTTAACAGAAAAACTGGACTATAAACACACAAAAAAAAATATGCACACAAAAAAGTGCTGCATGAATTGATGAATATTATGAAATACTATGTATAAGTGCTTGTTTTTAGTCGAATAGAAATAAAGATCCGTCCATCCATCATTAAACATTATACAGGACAAAGATCAAAATTGACAGTTGTCCATTCAAATTCAGATGAAAGACAGGAAAGAGCTATAACAAATAGGGTGTTTTTCATTCACAGAGTGGTTTTATTGCCGTCAAAAGAACTGGTTGCACACAGCTAAACCACAGTAGCTGGCCAAAGCACAACACACAAACTATTTCAGTGGACAGTAAAAATCTGTCAGATTATTGTCTGCATCACAAACCCTTTTTTTCCCTTCTGTCTTAAAATTATTTTCAAGTGTTTCAATTTGTGAGAATATAAGTTGACAATGCTTTGTTGTCTTAATTTCTAAAAATAAAAACGCAATAAAGCAAAGTCAAATTGAATTGATATGGAGTGTATGCAACTGTACAGTGAGCTGTTTGGTAACCGTAGCACAACATGGAAACATTTCCCAGCTGTCTTTCAACAGGTTGCCATTCCATCACAGGGCCACACCAATGCACATCGGACAGACAACCATCGCTCCTGGGGCCAATTCAGTGGCACTAATTTACAATTTACTTAACAAGGTTACTCATGGATGGTGTTAAGAGTACTCAGGGAACCCACTCAGACACCAGCAAACTCCACACTGAAAGGCCCCCATGGGATTCAAACTAGGAAACCTCTCTCTGTGAGACATGATGTTCTAAACTAAATCTGTAATATAGTAGAAGTTTCACAGTATACTAATACAGTGATGAGAAGAGAACAAATCAAAATATCACTGATGGCCTCATGTATCCATGTATTAGTATAAACTAATACATAAAAGGCACCATCCACACACATAATCAGTATTTTATTGTTGTGAATTATGACTAATATAATGGTGTGTTAAGCATGTGGATGAATCTCCCATGGCCACCTTGTGCTAGATGCTAATAGGCTCACAGTGTGATAAAGGTTCCCCGTGAAGTTCATGAACCAGAAGCGCTATAGGGCTGTTTCACCGCCTACAGTGAAAGCCATGGCAGAGGAGGCAGTGTTTGCTTTGCTGCCAGTAAAATAGTGCAAAAAGAGCAGTTTGATTACATAAAAGTCGGTGACGTGAAAGAAAGAAGAAAACGTAAAACCAAAATGGGATGGGACAACAAAAGTGTTGGTAAAGTATGCACGTATCCTTAAGTTTTACCCATCATAGCAAACATTAAATCATAGGATCCAAACATCTCTTCAGTTAGGTACGCCCTTAGATAAACAGCTCATACTACCAACAGATTGAAAACTCTTTCATGCAGTAACGCAGAGTAATTCTGTTTGTATGTTCTTTATTTTCTTTCATTTGTGTAGAGTTTTTTGTTACTTAAGTTTTCTGATTATAAGAAATTCACTGCTCTCTCAAAGTACAATTGTATCACTTCAACCGAGATGAGGTCTAGACCTTGATAATTTTTCTGTTTTGATGAACTTAACGGAGAAAGTTAGAGTTAAGAATTTACAAACTTTAATCCAGTCGTAATGATGGCATATCTTATAGCTGAGTTGCAAAGTAGCATAGAGTCAGTCTCATAGTGGCACAGTTCAATCTGAAATTTTAAACGGCTTGGAAAACACTACACTACTGCATAAGCATCACTGTGTTTGTACTCTGATCACTCACAAGCGTATATATAACTAAATTCACCAGTAAAGTAACTGGATGCTCCCCACAACAATGGCACCATTTGGGCTGCAAGGTGCTGTAATTTTTCCTAGTATTCATATTTTTCAACTTATCTGTTCATATCAAGCCACCTCTGCCTTTGCCGTTCTTAATGGGAGCTTACCCTGTTTAATGAGCGAAGCTGTTGTTGCTCTAAGGGCAATAAAGAGCCATCAACTAAACAAAGGACCATTTGCATTGTCTTGGGCAAAACTAACGAGGAAAGAACATTTTAAAAGGTCAACCCAAGAGCTACTTATTTTTAAGTCTGCTGGCATATTACTTTTTTTTAAACTACCCCTGGACTTGTGTCAGCAATGTCAGTAACAACATTTATACATAACACAGCGAGAGACCAGAAAGCATTTGAAAGAGAGCCTTTAATTCCATGGAGAGAAACAACAATGTAAGTGCACTTTCATTTTCAGTACACCCCTCGTGAACAGACATAACCTTGGAGAGAAATATAACGGCTAGACTTGGGGAGATTGAAATAGGTGACAAGCTTCAAGGAACAAGGCAGGAGGAAGGTGGGGAAGAGAGCCAAAGTAAAAAAAAAAGATTAATGGGCAGTGGAATCAGAGACAGAGACATCTTCCCAATTCAGCAACTCAAAAAATTGTCTCACAGTGAGCGTCGGAGTCCAAAGATTTCCCAAATATTGTGTCCATCATTCTCTGATTTTTTTTTTTAAAAACAAGACCTTTAATAAGTACAAATTGGGCAATCAGCTACTCTGCAACATTAACACTTAATACTGATAGTGCAGGGTGGCTACATTTTTTAATCAGCAGTTTGTCAAAAAACTTGAAAAAAACACACACACAAAGTCTTTTAAGCAACATGTGAGTTGATTAGGCCTTGTGGGAGATACATGCATCAGTTGGAGCCCATTTATAACTAAATGTAAGCAAAAGGCACACAGGTCAGCCATGACATTATGACCACAGGTATGATAGCGTATTATCCTATATTAGAACTAATAATAAGTTTTACATGGACAAATTACAAGCTTACAACAGCAGAACGTATTACGGCCACCTCATTGACAAGTATTGGACACTAAATATAGAATTAGGTTCTTTTTCTTCTGAGTGTGTGGACATTAAACATGGTGAAAAATACATCATTTTGCACCATGTGAGTTTTAGTGGTGGGGCTTTGTTTGGATTGGAATTGGAATCTTCGAATGCCGTCAGATTTCCCGCTGAGGTATTGGGAGGTTGAGTTATCAGGACGGGTGCTAGTATAGGGGAGGCTGGGGGCCATTCGACAGTGTCAAAGCATTATTTGTCATTTTTCAAGGATGCACAGCATCGGTCTTCCCAGCAGACTACTTTACTTGTCCGTGGTCATATTGTTATGACTAATCTGTGCACGAAAATCACAGTAATTTAAACACAAAAACGCATCAAGGGGGTGAATAAACAAATGTAATCTCAGAACTATTTCTTAGTTTGTTTGACTTTTATTGTTTGATGAAGTAACTGCTCACTCTGCATTTGAATTATTAAGCAATGTGCACACTGGGGTATTCCTCTTGACCAAATCATTATGTTGACATCATTGAATCTTCCAAATTTAAGCTTTAATTGTATTAAACTTGTAAACCTTATCAGCAACAGTTACAACACCTACACCAGTGAGAAACATCCTCTAAGCACAAAAGCATAGACGAGTGAAAAACTTAAAGGACAATTAACAGAGCCCATGCTGTTTTTATTCAGGCTGTTGGCCCTAAAAGTGTGATGTGGTTAATTTTGAAACACATGATCATCTTTTGTGTATTGCTTTAAAGCCTTTGTCTGTAAAGATATAGCTTTAGCTGGAAAGCCCTGGGAGATCTTAAAGCTGTGAGGAAATACTGACATCTAATACTCAGCTGGCGGACAGTACGATCAAGGCCACAAGCGCCTAACTTCACAGTGGACGACAACTGCAGACCACATAGTGGATAAAGTGTAAAAGGAATAAGGTCAGATTGACCACATGAGTGGACACACCAGCACCAGAAGTTGCAGTAATGTTAGCTGTTATATTTTCTTTCTTCTGAATACATTCTAATCACATTGTCAGGTATGCGTAAACTAACTCCAGTACCCAAAAGGGATAAGTTCTTTACCATATTTGGCAACAAGATGAGCTGCAGGAAAGAGAGATAGAATGGAATTCACTTGAAGATGTGAAGATCTGAAACATGATGGCATGACATGGCGTATCATGACAAAGCATTAAATGCATGTTGCTGAAGCCTTCAGTCAATAGTCGTGTCATCACAGAGTTGGTACCTAGCTGTCACAGCAGGAGCAGGTCTACTTCATCCAGGTTTTCTAGCTCCAGTCAAAGGTCAGACGTGATTGCTAACAATCTTGCGTTGTTCAAAGACCATCAAGCTTCCCATTAACCGACACTAAAAGACTATTAATTTAATCTCAAAGCAGAATTTAATTTAAGATTTAAAAGAGAACATTTATCATATCTCGTAGCTCTGGTTGAACATTCAAAACTAATGGTAACACCATGGATGGGGTGGGGCTAATGGAAAGAACACTTTTTACACATTCTGAAACAAGTGTAGAACTTATTGTGTAGAAAAAAGGGGACGTCGACACTACAGCCTTAAAAAAACACTCGCTCAATTATGACTTCCTCTGTTGGACATCACTGCACATGCATACATGGCCAAAATCCCTCCTTATAAGTTGTGTTTAACCTATTTGAGTGGACATTTGGTCAAATGACATCACAAATACAATATCTGGATTTTAGAAGAGCAGACCAACAGCTTCTCAGTTCTTTGACAGTGACTGGTGGTTGACACTTAGTCCTAATGGGCTTCTTCTCAGGCCCGCCGATAGATCATCTTTACTGGAAATTCAGCTGTTACTAACATACAGTAAAGGTAGGAGCAAGCATTGGGAGCGAAGCAAACAGACGTGCAAATGAGTTGATGATCCTCTGCCCTGTGAGGGAATCTTATGCGAAGCTGGTGTCAAAGCTCAGGAGCCCTGACTATGCATTTTTCCACTGTTGCCATAAGAAATACGAGTAATCCATGGTATCGTTGCTTGGTGTATGAGGGCAACAGTTGTGGCTAAGTGGCTGCTTTTTCTGTTCAGGAAAGTGGAGACAGGTGTGTGTTGTCTGATAAATTAAAATTAATTAAAAATAAATAAATCCCCCCAATAATCCTTTTAGCTTTTCGAAGCAAAGCAGCTTGGGCAGCTTCTATTGAGTTTTTAGGCTAACTAGCAGCTAAATGACACAGCAGTAAAAAACAGTCCAGGAGCAGTGTTTCTTTTTGTGGGGGATAACTTCCCCAGGTGTGAACTTTGGGTTTTTGGCAACTTTGCTGACATTTATCATGCATATGACACATCGTATCGCACACTGAAAGAAAAAATGAAACCCTCGATTTAAATAGACCAGAGCAGGCCTGGGTGAGTACTCAATACCCAGATATGACAATTCGGTGTCCTTCAGATTCTGAATTTCGTGGGTTCCTATGAGGGTGGTGCATATGTTTGATGCTGCGTACTGCGGCTTCCGGAGCGCCGTTAAACAGCCATCTCATCGCCTATGCAGTCTGGCAGGCTTTCTGCGTTCAGCACGTTAAAGAGTCGTGCGGCACCATCCGCCCCCACGCCTTCTCCCTGCCCCCAGCTGTCTCGGTCGTCGCTCTCATCCGTGTTGGACTCGTACTCCGACCCGATCCCGGACTCCCTGAAACGGAGCAGCTCCAGGGCTCCCAGGACCTGCTCCCCCAGCAGCGAGCCCTCCTCGCTGGGAGTCTCCCCCGCGTACGGGCCCGGGCCCTGGTGGTCGGCCCCCAGGGACGAGAAGCGGAAGCACTCCAGCCGGACCGCGCTGCCCCCCGGGCCCAGGGGGGCGTTGTCCGCCGCGCTCGGAGAGCAGGGCCCCGGCAGAGCAGAGACCCAAGCGCCGTCGCTAATTTGGAGCTGGGACTGAGACGCCGACGGGGCTGTCGACGAAGAAGAAGGGGCGAGCGGCGTACAAGGCAAGCTGGGGGGCTTGGCACGGAAAGTTATCTCCAGAAGACTGTCCTGGGAGCCCACTGGGGATGAAGAAAGAACAGAGATGAAAGTGTAAGAGACAGATATGTGGGATGAAACGGGGCCTGCAGGGTCTGATAAGACATTACAGTGGCATATCATCACTGGCTGAGGGCTGGGGAGGAGAAACAGAGATTGGTACTGCATTCCCCGGGATGCCTGCCATGGGGTAATTAATTACATGGCAGAGGTGGTTGATAAAAAAAAAAAGCTATGACAGGAAGAAAGGGCAAAAACAAGAGATGAAAAAAGAAAGCAGAAAAAAAGGGGACAACTGCAGTTTCACATTTGACGTTAGCAGAGAAAAACACAACTCCAAATCCTCCTTTTGGACCAGGAAGGAAAACCGAGGGGGTAAGAAAACGACAAAAGAAAACACTCTCTTCACTCACTGGATGTCAAGCGGCCGGCCGATTTGAGCTCCAGCTCCTGGATCTGTTTGACCAGGAGCGAAATGTGCTGCAGCAGGTCGGTGTTTTGCTGCAGCAGCCTCTGCACTCGGGTCTGGGCCTCGGTCCGTGCGCACACCTCCACCGACAGCTGCTCCTGCAGCACGTGCACCTGGACACCAACGCGCACATCGAGAGGCTGTTAGGATCTGGAAGAATGTTTTTAACCAAAAACACCAGCGAAGGAGGCAGGAATTAGAGATGCCTGGCTCACCTGGGCCGAGGCCGCCAGCGCCTGCTGCTCCTGCTGCTGCAGCTGTTTCCTCAGCAGCTGGAGGTGACGCTCCGAGGAACCGGACGCCTCCGCTGCCGAGGCGGACGCCCCGAGGACGGGAGAGCCCAGCAGAAGAGGGGGTTCATCGTCAACCTTCGGGAAAAGATGACACCGAAACTGAGCAGCCTTTTTCTGCCCACTCTTACTTCAATTCAATTCAATTTTATTTATATAGCGCCACATCACAACAACAGAGCAGGTCAGACCCTACTCTGAAGTTAATTACAGAAACCCAACAATTCCCACCATGACCAAGCACTAGGCGACACAGGCAAGGAAAAACTTCCTTTTAACAGGCAGAAACCTGGAGCAGAACCATGGCTCAGGGTGGGCGGCCATCTGCCTCGGCCGGCTGGGGGTGAGGGAAAGAGAGGGCAAGAGAGAGAGAGAGAGAGAGAAGGACAGAGGGAGCAGAGAGAGGCAGCCAACACAGCAACACGTAGACTGGATGAAAAATGGCAGTGATATTAATACTAATGATAATGATAAAAGTTATGACAGCAATAACACTATGCAGAGTAGTAGCAGAGCAGGAACACGGGGGCAGCAGGAAACTCCCAATCACAGATCCAGACTCCACAGCTCTAGGAACACCTGCAGGAAGTGACAGGAGGAGACTCCCACCCACAGATCCAGACCCCACAGCTCCAGAGCCAGGAATACTTCACAGCATTGCTTTGGTTCACTGTGGGACGCCGGATTAAGCTCTTTCTCAGCTCTCTTAAGGCCCCTCCAAAACATTTCGATGTGGCCGAAGTATGGACTTTGGGTCATTTCAACATCTTGGTTATTTTCTTTTTCAGACATGGTCTAGATTTGCTGCTTTGATCTGCTGACGATCAAAATATAATGTGACGTTTACCTTGGTATACATAGGAGTCTATGGTGGACTCTACTAACACCTTTATTGCAAACCTGTACTGCGCCGCCATGGTCTTTTCAGAGAAAATAGGCTTTCTAATGTAAGCCTTCCAACCACTCTTGCTGAGTCTTTTTCTAATTGCACGGAACTTTAACTATATACAGTACATGTAACCAATTTACTGTTTTACAGTATGAGATTTAGTTCCTGTGTTTTTTTAAGGTTCTGACATCTGACCTTTGGGAACTTGCTGGGGCGTTAGCAGACGCCATTAAAGCAGTTTCAACCAGGTAGTTTGGAAATGGCCCCATAACCCTTCCAATGGTGATGGACAACAACAATTGCCTGGTGATTGCTGGCGTTTACCTCGTTGACATCGTGTTAACACACCCATGAACGCTCCGGAGTGGAACACCTCTGCCTTTACGGGGGTGTTCCAATTCAGTCTCAGCTATTTCTTCTTTGTTAAATAAATAATAGCACCGTGTAGAATGTCTGGATCTGTTGTTTATTTTATCTTTTGTGCAATTTGTGTTCAGCTTATTGTGAACTATTTTTTTGGGTTTACGGTAGGAAGAATTTGGAGAACTAGCTAAGCTGAACACTTTAAAAACCACACAGTGTTTTTATTTCTTTTTTTCTTTTTATTCCTCACAGCTAAGAGGACTTAATAAAAGCAGCCGACAATATAATTATTCATTCAAGCAGTGAGCAGAGAGAAACTTTAGCTCTGCTTTTTTTTTTTTCACAAGTCAACCTACTACCATTCAAAATAAAACTATCTTCTTTTCATGATGAGTGAAATAGTATGTATTGTTTTATTCTCATATTTCCTGAACTTGACTTCAGTTGCTGGAATTTTCTCTCAGTATACCAGATTCTCCTGGTTTTCCCTTGCTCGTTTCCACTTCCTAAATCTTTCAGTATGTGAATTCTGCCGGCCTGTTCAGCGAATTGCTCTGTTGTTTCCTCCCTAGTTTATTTTCCTAGCTTTCCTTTATCAGTTCCTTGTTTTTTTTTGCCCCTAAAGCCCCTTTGTTTAGCCCTATAAAAAAAAAGTTAGTTTCATACTTCTCTCCTCTGGACGGTTTTCGAGCTGCATTTGGGTCCTCTCATGCTCCCTAATGCTAGAGTAAAATAAATATTGTAGCATCTCGCAGTCACGACTTAATTATTAAAGGCTAATTGCATGAGAATAAAATAGTGCACCGTTAACGTTACGGATTCAGTGTTTACGAAGGTTCATTAGAGTCAGCTTTTTTTGATACCTTCCTTTAGACATTCCTGCACACTTCTAAATGCATTTCCTAAACTTTGCAGTTGGAGGTTCCACAGGGAGGGTTGATGCTGCCAAACTACAGGGATCTTGCATATTTCCCTTCTATAAAAAAGTGAACAAAAGCGAATATATGACTCAAATTATAGAGCGCCATAACCAACAGCCCTCAATGACAGAGTAATAGGGGAAAGAAAAATACATGAGAGCTTGTGTGTGCGTGCGCAGTCAAAAATGTCACTAAAAGACTCGGAGCTGGCAGCAGCCAACTAGTCTGCTCCTGTGCAAAACTTCCTCTGATTAATATCGCGCCTCCCCGGTGAAACTTGTGAGGAACTCTGAACAATATCTGTATAATGAGTGTCTGTACGGCTTGTTTTTCACTTCCACATCTTAAAAAAAAAGGAAAGGCAGACGGAGAATTTTTTAAAAAGCTCTTCAGGTGGGAGGAAGTGAAACAGTAAATCAAGGGTGGGTTTGTATTTCATGGCAAGTAGTAAGTAAAGTTGGTTGGAAAAAAAAAAGCCTTTTTAATTTCAAGTATACCAAAGCATGATACATTAGGTTACTTGGAATCTTCTGTGCTGCCTATGTACAGGCCTAAGGTAGGAATGTCCCAAAATTATCACTAGAAAAAATTAACTCGTAATAGTGCCTGCTGGAAGTTAGCGTTAGTATTTCATATCGTGCCACTTTATCTCTGTTTTAACTGCCACTTAAAGCCTTAAAGAAGGCTGCAGACATGAAAAAGCTGCCTCAGTTGTTGTTCCATTTTTTCATTTTGAAAGCATTTTCCCTGTGAAAATCCAACCAAAAGTCACAGAAGAATGGTTAGAAGAAACCAAAACAAGAAAGGGTTTCATTTCATGTTGGGTCGCCTTGAGAACTGGTCCCGATTGAGAGCTCGCAATGAAAAATATCAGTCGGGAAAATTCTAAAAGAAATGTTCCTTGCCTGAAGCAAATAAACTTTCTTTCGTCTGCATGTGAAGATGTTGCTTTGATTTCGTCTTGGCCAGTTAATCTATGAAGAGATCTTAAAGATGATCTCTCTTGGGCTGTGCGACTCACTGTTAGTGTTTAGAACACTGAATCAGTCTTGTAGGTCATGATTTACCCGTCATATCTTAAAGGGGAAATCAATAAGAGGGACTGTTCTGCTATTAATCTTTGTCTTTACATGATGATCCTAAAGTTACAAACTGACTGTATAAACTGCTGCTGTTTCATTGTGACAGAATACAGTAATCATGCTAATTTTCATGTTTTCGACTAACCGTAATTGGATGTAACAAGCGTGCAATTGAAATGGATCCCCCTCCCACCCGGGGCCCTGATCATCTTCTCTCTGGAGCATAAAAGCTGTCAGAGCCTCAGAGACTCTGCAGGCGAACAAATATCAGAGAGCAGACGGCGGCTCTTACATCGCAGGAAAAGCCGACCGGTTCTCAAAAACCATACTGTGGTTTCATTAATGAACTGTATGATCTCCTCCGTAGATCATATCTTAACAAACAACCCTTTTAAGATTTGGCTGCTTAGAAAATATTTACTGAACAAGACTATGACTCATGTGGATCAGTTTTCTGCATTACCCTCGAATTGTAAATTCTTCATAAGCAAGACTTTTTCCCTTTTCATTTTTCCTTTCAAGCCACGGTTATTGTTAAATATGCTTAAATCTGCCCAAATACATACCTGGGGAAATCTGTTTTCTGGGATAACAGCTATGGGGTTGAACTGTTGTTCGTCAGTGGTGTTTGAACATTGTGAAATCCTAACTTTTATTCTCGAATAATTTTTGCGCAGCAAAGACAATGTAGCAATAGTGTTTATTTACTCCGTTCCTACCTTAAAAAATACTATTCAAACTCATCGAAAGCAAACACCTAGTATTCAAGCCTGAATTAAGTTAACAGTCTCATAATAAGATTTTTCCTACGTTTTTAATACTGTCCCACAATTTTTCTAAATGGAGGGGTCGGGGGGAGTGGGCTGTATTGTGACAACTAAATATGCTGTTTAAAGTTTAAAGTTAAGAGCTGTGCACGTGTGCGTTCTAAAATCATTACCGTCAGTGAACATTTTCATTTGGGACATAACAAATAAACCTCTGCACGGTTTCTAAAACCTCCTGCTCGAACAGCGTCTGAAAATAGCAGCGCTTTGTGGGAGCCATCAAAACATCTACCTCTCCATCTGCACCCAAGGCCTCGTCGCTTTTGTTCTTCTCAGGGTCTGACGAGGAGGCGCACTCGATACTCTCCTCCGTGGTGCCTTCAAGGTCCGTCTCCTCTGACAACGCCAACCTCTTCTTCGCTGAGGAGAGAGAGGCATCGAGGGGGTTTGATTTCTTAGATTTGCGCCACGACGAGAGGCGGTGACAGCTGTCGCCTCGGCGAGCAGGCAGCTGGCAGGAGCCCACACAAAGGAGTTCTTTGATCAATGGCTCGCTCGCCTCACCGAAACCAATTTACAGCCTCTATGTGAAGAAAAAAATTGTCGGAGGATAATGACATATTTGCTCAGAGGAGTGTGGCGTTTTTGTTTGTGTAGGAGGTAGAGCAAGAGATGTAAGGGAGGAAGGACTGTTTGTGTTTTTCTGTAGGACTGAGATGGAATGATGGTGGGAATGAGAACAAAAAGAAAGACTTTTTTTTTTGTTCTAATTCCAATTACAAAGTGTGCACACGTGTGCTTAGGTGTTACTCACCTGGAGCCGCTTCTTGCTCCTCAGACTCCCCAGCCTCCCCCCCCTCCTCATCCTCCCCTTCCTCCTGTTCATCGCTTTTCTGTTGCAGGGTCATCTGGTGGCACACGTCAAAGGCCTGACCCACCGTCCGCACGATCCTCATGGCCTGAGACTGTGGGCGGATTCAGGGGTTTGTGTGAGGAGGTGCATGGCAGGAGAGAAGCAGGTAAAAGTAGTGTGCTCAGATAGGAAGAAATATGATGAGGGAATAAGGGAAGAAACTTAACACGGAGGTGGGGAGTTATGAGCTTCATTAAAAATCTTCTTGACAAACTCCGGCTCGTGTTGTCAAAAATATTTCAGAATTGTTTTAATGGCAGGAGGAGCAAATAAAGTTATTATGAAAGGCTCCAATACAAAATCATCTCATAGTCCTTATATTTGCAAAGTTTGTTTGGCACTAGCCTAAAACTCAACTATTGCATCAGACCCACACTGACAGATAACCAACTTTCTAAAAGTTAAAATGATTATTTAATCGTTTTTTTTTGTTGTGAGCAGACTTATGGTTTATTGAAAATACTGAGATGGGTCCAAAACAATCAAACTGCAATAAAGCATAATCCAGAATGAGCTCTCATCCCGATGCCTTCTCGGAGAAAATCCTCTTGTTTGCTTTGTACACAGTGCAGAAGATTTGCTGTGGATTTGGTCACAGGGACAGTAGATCATAAAATCCTTTATGTGTAGACGGTGAGTAAATACTGTCTTGGTTAGCTGTAGTTTTAAAGAAGGAGCTATGATCTGACCTTTAATACAATATCGGCTCTACAATTTTCAGGTCCACTCATTATGAGTAAAACTATAGGAATATTGACACAATGCTTGTTACTGTTATCGTTGTCATTGTCATTGACTTGGAATTAGTTATTTGCCAACCTTGAATGCTGCTAATTCAGAAAATAGAAGGCCTAATGCTTCATGTTATGAAGTGTGTGCGACAGGGATCACGAATGTGCCAAAAAAACGGAACTGAAGTTTGGTGCACTGATATGGGCATGAGTGATTTATCAATGTAAGTTCTGTAACACAGGAAATGTAAATGGGGTAGCTTATAATAATAACAAAAACAACAACAACAACAATAATAATAATAACAATAATAATTTTAATTGAATTCCTTTGTCAGGCTTTTGCTGTGAATGCACTCATAGCTACTGTTGGCTGAACTTGCCTTAGGCCTGTAAAAAGGAACATTTCTTAACTCCTATTGATGCCAGAAAATTATAAGCACAACCTAATGCAAGCAGAGCAGAGGCTTGCCAGCTACGAGTAATGGGGCAGGCCAGGATAAAAAAAAGGCTCTCAGCCTTCAATAGATTGAATTGCATTAAGAATAGGTTATAGTCCAGACCCTTGATTTGTAACAGTTGGAGCCAGACTAGACTAAACCAGGCTATGATGTGATTAAATAATTAAACCAGCAGCCGAGCACTTAGCTAATGTTAACTTGGAAGCTACCTGCAAAGCACAATTAAAAAGTGATGTTCTCACCTGACGACAGATAAATCAAATTAGGAATTTTAGTCTATGTTACACATTCTGTAGCAGACAGTAGGAAAATATTTCCAAATGGGAAAGTATTGGTTTCAGCTCATATCATTTGCATATTAATTTGATATGTTTCTGATTTCTAGCTATCTTCTTTAGAATATAAAAAAGTACGCAATCTTCTAAAGTCTTACCTAAAAGTAACCCAAAATCACTACACATGTTAAGTATTAACAGTTTTTGAATTGGGAAATAAAGCTATTTTCTCTGTGGATTCAATATATTAACATTTTTTTAACCACAGGTGACAAACAATGAGATTGCATATCAGTATTGGAGCTCTTTCAGCATTTACAACAAAAAAGTCTTCTTCAATTTCCACGACTAAAACAATTATTGACTATAACGGACAGAATATGATGGAAAAACGTCTGTCTATTTGTAGAGATAGCTGCTTCTGAGGTTCAGCTGTATAACTATTACATTTAATCACTGGAAAAATGAGAGAAAATTAATATTTGTTGCAGGTTTCAAAATGCATTTGCTGCTCCTCTGTCCTGCTATTAGATATAAATAACTCCTGCCCACCAGTCATTTAGGTTAAAATGTTAGTGATCAACTTGAATTTCCTGCCTTACCAACATCATTTGATATATGTCAAAGAAAACATTCTGACAGGATGAGTGGATGAAAACAGCAGGATGAGTGTTAAATGAAAGGTTACTGCTGACGACAGGAGAAATGTAATTTAACTCTTTTATTACTGCAACTGATTACAGTTAGTTTTTTAAAATCTTTTCTTACAATTCTTACATCTTGCCAGTTACTTCCCAATGTTTTTTTTTTTTAAAGAAACTAAATTTTATGGTTTCCTTTGTCACCAGGCTTTGTTGGTGACAGCTATTCATCACCAAGGTCCTAAAAAGCAAGTACGTTTAGATACGTACGGAGCTAAAAAACTATAGAGTGGAGATGAATAGGGACTTTCCAAGGGTAATAAAATGTTTACACCTTTATTACTTTATATTGTTTCAAAAGCAGAGTGTTGGATTACCACCTTGGTAACTTACCAAAGGCCATGGGTGAAAACCAACAAGGACCAGTCCTGCAAAGCTCTGTGGCCATTAGGAGGGTTTCAACAATTATATGGCAAAGATAATAAATCCTAAATCTCTAAGCTGTGGGCTCTGGCACCTACCAGAGTAATTTAATCTATTAAAAGATAACCCAGATGTTGCATCTTTGAATTTCCTAGTAAACCAAAAGTAATTGGAATATTTTCGATTGGAATCAGGGTAATAACTATGATTGATAGTGACATTTAGGGGATAATTGATTATATCATTAATAAAACTAGTTATCAGCAACAGTATTTGCCGGCAATAATAATGTGAAATACATGTACTATGTGAGAGCCAGTGTTTTCAGACTTATGCCAAAAGTAAGAACATTGACCATGTCATTTTAGGTTTTCTTTCCGTGGTTGCCTTTAAAATGTCGATATAGACTTCATCCACCACATCATTCCTCTTTTCGACTACAGGTGTGCCGCCAGTGGCCACGTCAAAATAAATTTAGTGCCACCAGCCCCTCAAGTATCACCCTGCCTGAAGGCATTAAACCAATATGTCAAGGTAGCTCAAGCATGAACATAGTTCAAACAAGTGTAATTGAAAAATAAAACCGACAATAAAAACAGAGAGACAGGGGGAAAATCGCTCACTAAATTCCATCAATGCAGACGAGTGCATTTCAACGTGTCAAAACGCCACCCGTCTGAGGGCGAAGCACAAAAGCCTCCGCCGATGAACTGAGTTGACAGGCAAATCTTACGATTTAACATCCCGCCACGGAGATAAATCAGATTTCCTACGATAAGTGGGTCCCTCTCCTCCTACTCAGCACAAAGGCTTGTGTGCAACACCCAGATAAGGCTGCAGGAGCCTCAGGGAGGTGTGGAAGCACGGCTAGCCGTGTCCCTCACACTCGGGTGGGTGTTCAATTCACAACGGTGAAAACATCTTGAAGTGCAGCGCAAGAAAGCCCCCCCTTTTTTTTTTTCTTTTCTCTGCCCACAAGAATGATTAGTATTCAGCTTCAATAAGTCACTGTCGGCCTGGTATCCATGGTGAAGGGATGGGAGTCAACCTCACTGATGCTCTGTCTTTGTCATGATGGGAAAAAATTGTCTCGACTTGATATGCAGTTGCGGGGAAAAGAGCGGTCCACGTCTTTTCCTGTTTTCCGATTCAGTTCACAATATGTGATTTTAGGGGTTCTGGTCATACATGTGGTCCGACAGCACAACTAATCACTGACCCCAAATCAACTAATACAATTGGAAATAATATCAGCTCAAACAAAGCCGCAGACAAAAGCCTGTTAGATAGGCATGAAGCCTGAAAATGTCACAAATAAATAATTGAACACTATGTCTTTGCGTATGTTTAATCCATTGGGATTTCAAATGGACCTCGCACAGATCTCGGTGCTTCACAAGCTCACAGTCAGAATTCTAGAAGGCTGAGCTGTAATATCGCTCTGCTGAACTTCAGGTTAATATATTCCTCTCATTACCAGATGTGTCCTTTGTATGAAAAGAGGCTGTTGTGTGGATAACTGTACATAAAATAAAGTCTCATCCAGTAGTCGGCAAAAAGTAAAAAAGGAAGATTTATGTCTCCCTCTTCAAAACAAAGACAGCAACATTATTAATAATACTGTCTCACAGAAATTAGGTTTAAATACACCAACAATGCAGCAGTAAATATTCATCGAGATCAACGCTGTTGCAATCATGACACTTTCCAAAAAATAAACCCTCCCAAAAAACCTTTATGTCACTTAAATTGTCCATTTTCTATTCTTCTTATCTTATTGCAGCAAAATACAATAAAGCTCTGATTGTTTCTTTTGGGGTGGGCATGTTTTCTTAGATTAATGGTATCTGTGTCCGTGTCTCTCTTCTTTTAACACCAAAAAATGCACTCAAATCAAAACAAAAAGCACCAGATCTCTCAGAGACACTCATTAAGTTTTAGTGTCTCAAGATAAACAGATTTAGGTGCCGATTGTCAGATAGCACAAAGGATTAAAAAAGAGAATGATCAGACAGTATAAAAAGGAGTGATATTCAAGGGATTTTTGAAAAATGTGGAAATACTGATAGAAACAGTGAGGAGTTGAGTTTTTCTTTGATCAAGTTGTTTTCTTAAATCAAAACCAAAAGAGGAAAAATATAACGATAAAGCAAAAGTTAATTGAAAGGACGAAGGGATAATGTAATATCTATGGGTTTACTTGTAAAGGAAAAATTATCTCAAAGATACAAAGCCCAACAGTGTTTTAAAACACTTTTTGGATGAGGTGGTAGGTTAGAAGGATACATTTTTTGTTCTACAATAAAATCATAAGGCCTCTTTTTTTAAAACTCCCTGATGTGACTAGGCTCACGAAAGAAATGGAGTCACTCATCCAAGACGGGGAAAGTGGAGAAAGGTAGGTCAAGCGGAGATGTGAATAAGAATCGGAAAAAGTCCTCTGGCAGATTGAATCCGCACTGCTTTAAGCTTAAAGTCCTGGCTTAAAGTCCTGGCGTTTATTATCCAAATCCTGTCAAACCTTCTTAACTGAAACTGCTTTTTCATAATAATGCCAGGACTCTATCAGCACATTCTGAGATACTGCCCAAAAGATTTGGGAATGAGTCATAGTCATGATACTGTAGCATCACAGGGTCAATTTTTCGCTACAAACACTGAGGTGAAATCAATCAATAACTGGCCACCTACTTGATTAAAGCAGAAGGACAACACATTGCCTTTGAGATTAGAATGCCTGCTCCATGTCACAAGTCTGGAGACTGACCAAATCTGGTGGAAAAATAAAGGCTCAAGGTGCCGATAAAGGGCAGGAAGATTGGTTTTGCAGGACAGTTTCTCTGCAGAGCTTCTGCGGGGTTTGTCTTTGTGGGACAGATGAGTAGAACAGTCATCCAGATTACATTACGGCCACAAAAACAGCCTCTGGGTGGTTCCCAATTAAAGAAGTTGATTTGTGCGTAACAGCAGCTGGAAAAGAGGTTGAGGTCTTATAAGCTCCGGGTGGTCAGGGTATTTGATAAAAAAACAACAAAAAGATAACAAAATCACTCAGTTCCCAATATTTAGTATCTAGAGTATATTGTAGCAACCAACTGCTGCCTTTAGGTGCTTCATTAATTGTAACTGTAATATTAGGCAGAACTTGAGCCAGCCATAATTAACAATGATTTTACACTGTAGCAGTGAAAGCCTTTTAGTTGTATTTGAGGGCAATTTTGAGGACAAAAGGTTGCAAGACTTTACACCATGTAACTGTTGCATCAGACATTCTCCAGTTCAGTAAGTCTGTTTAATGAAGAAAACATTCATCCACATCAAAGCCACTGACATGTAAAAATGAGTTTGCACTTTGTTCAAGCAAAAGTAGGCTCATTCCAACTTTCTTTTATGTACATGAACGTATTGGTGCTCTGGCGAACTGCATGCAGTCTACCTTTTGGGTCGACTCAGCCAGAGTTTTCAACACACATGCATTTGTAATTGACCCAGAGTACTGTACACTGTGGATGTATATAAGTCTCGTGCAAAGTCTCTCCTCAAAACAAGCATCTATACTGTCTTCAGCCCCATGTGGTTGTGAATGTACAAGTTGCATATGGCACGCCAAACTGAAGGGACCCAATGGGCCATGGTGGACATGTGAAGGTAACAAAACACCGTAGAAATCTTAATGACAATCAGTGCATTGCCTTTGGGTACTTCATATAACCCCAAAAGAAAAAAAGGGGAATGAAATATTCCTTTAAAACATATTTGTATGTGGTTTTATTGCATGATTGAGTACACTCTACCCGGGATGCGTAGGACTGACTCAGCTGGGTCTGCAGTTTATCCCAATCAAGGAACAGTGCAAAGCTTTAACATATTCATGAACTGCCTGGTACAATCTTTATCTAAACCTGACAGCGGTCCTAGTGGTGTGGTCACATTAAGCTATTTGAGAAGTCGGTAGTAAACATAATATCTCCATATGGACATTACAGTTCCGTGTCGTAAAAAAAAAATGACATGGGAGGTCACTGGATGAATTCTAAGTCTATTCCTATCCGTCACGTTAATGTCAGCCAAATAAATAAGTGATGTGCTGGAGTACCAGAGGGATTTTTAGTAAAATCAGATTCATCCCTAAAAACTGTTTGGAGAAGCAGACTTTTGTTTTTCATCAAGGTAAGAAACTGCACCAGATATTGAAAAATACTCGAGAAATACTGTAACTCAAGTAGATAGATAGATAGATAGATAGATAGATAGATAGATAGATAGATAGATATGCTTATTGCAGTTGAACTTACCTTCCTCTTAGACTTGAACACATTGCAGCGAAAAATGTTACTCTGGCCTTCTCTCGCTATATAACTGAAAATCTTCAGATCTTGCGCATCATGTGAGACGTAAAAGATTCTGTAGAGGGAATGAAACCAATGCAAAAAGGGTTCCGGAGGGCATTTTCATTTGAAAAACAAAAAGAATATAAGGTTGGGTTATTTGACTTACATCTCTTTGCTTTAGAACCTGGTGGACTCACCTGTAGATGGGATCCTGCGTCACCAGGATGGTGTTGTCATCCCACGACCACCCTTTTCTCTAATGATCCACAAAAAAAACAAAAAGAAGTTACCGCTGTGAAAGGTGTGTTTCAGACAGTAGTATAAAAGTTCACAGATAAAATCCAAAACTGACCTTTTTCTTTTTGCGTAATATTACTTTGACACTATCGGTGGATACAACGATGTTGACCTTCTTCTTCTTGATGTTCTTCAGTTTGAATTCATACTGTAAAGGAAGAGTGCTCGTTAAAGTTTGTACAAAGGCAGAGAATGAAAACCCAAAAGTTAACCAGTTACGTCACAGTGGTACAAAACATCGCTGCTGAAAATGGAGACCTTCATGCAAAATTCATGAAAAGAAATAAGCGGACAGTGTGGACAGGAGCCCACTTTTTATCTTCTCCGGGGGAAATCTGAGATTGAATTAACAGGGAGATACTGTCAGTTTCTGTGAGGTTTTCAAAGGCGACTTCAGGGAGGGAGGCAGCCGCGTAAGGCACTTTCATCCCTCAGTATGATTAATACCAGAGTCTGTACATCCACTGCAAGCTCGCCTTCCAAATTTCAGGGCTTGGAGATAAAAAAAAAACAACAACCATAACTTGAGAACACGTTGAAAGCACAAACTCTAACATCAGATGATTAATTGATCAGTGAAATCATCCAGCAAATGAACCACCACCCACTTTGTAAGGCGCGTTTGGATATTCTCTATCATCTTTTCTTTGACTTCTGTGGTAAAAAAACAACAACCTCAGAGATGCTTTTCGTTATCAGCAGCGCTGCTGAAAACTCTTTCACTGACATGGAAGATAAAAACAGGGTCGGTGAAAACTATTACCGCCAAGCGCAACTGATGCTGGTGATTTCAGCCTTGATGAGCAAATCCAAAGCAGTTTGTGTGTAAACCCGCATGCTGTCTCCCTCACACGTGCTCTCATCCAGTTCATCCATCTCGTTGCGTGGGAGTTTGAACATGCAAAATGGATTCCATACACTCAGGTAAGGACACAGGTCTGTATATGTTAGTGTATGTGTGCGTGTGTGTGTGCGTGTGTGTGTGTAATTCCGGTGAATCCAGCCTCACACACACACTGGGCCAATTGGACCATCCATCTCCATGCACATGGCTGTCAGAAAGAGACGAAATGGAACACAGGGAGGATTCCCACAACGTTTCCATGCGCATCAGCCCGAAACTAAGTCGGACCAAAGCAGCCACAGGTTGAGCCGGGGCCACCTTTGTTGTTTTTAATCTCAAAGCCACTGTGAGTTCTTTGGGGACAAGGTTCCTTTTGAATATTCAGAGTCCGTCTCCTTGAGAGGTGCAGATTCTTAATTACTGCAGCAGAACAGAACAGAGCAGAGCAGAGCACACACACACACACGTGCACACACACACACACACAAGGCCCCGCTCGTTCGCAAACGTGCTTTCATGTTATCAGCTTTCAAGTTTGCCCGTTTGAAATGTTTTCAGCATTTATCGCTCTGTGCATCGTTTGTGTTTCATCACTTTCGAGCCTTAGGAAAAAGCCTTTTTGAAGCATCTGCTTTTACAGGGACTGGAAACACATCATTCAAATCTTTTTTTATTAAGAATAGTTTGTTCATGCACCATTGAAAAATTGCAGGTTTAGCCAGAGAGGTCTTTGGCCTTTTGGATTATCGTGTGCATCGTGTGGGTTTCTTTTACATTTGAGCTGCTCAGTCATAGCAGAAACAACAGCCATTGTGAGAAAGATCTGTCCAAAAAAGCTTAAAATCTCCCTCACAGACCACTGTGCGTTTTGAAAAATCCCGAATAAAGACGTGCAAACGCACATATTTTTAGACCTATATATATATACATATAGTTATTTATATATATCTATATATACAGTGGGGGAAATAAGTATTTGACCCCTTTCTGAGTTTGCAGGTTTGACCACTTACAAAGAATGCTTATTTTTCCTCATCAGATGGTTAACAGTTTTTATAAATTCATATGATGTGATTTTCTGGAATTTTCTTTGGGATTCTGTCTTTCACTGTTGGAATGTACATATGATTAAAGTTATAGATCGTTGCATTCTTTGTAAGTGGGCAAACCTGCAAAATCAGCAAGGGGTCAAATACTTATTTCCCCCACTGTATGTATATATGTATAAACATGTATATGCCGTTGTTTTATTTATGGAGCCAGTAACAAAAATAATTTCCCTCTGGGATTATTAAAGTATTTCTGACTAATTCTGACTGATTCTGATATTTGCCAGTGCAATAAAGTGGCCAGTATTCTGCAGTGTGCACGAGGGACGGAGATTAAACGAGGCTGACCTCCGAGTGACACGGTAACTTGGTTGTTAGATTACGTCTAACATCTGACAGAAGGCTAAATCCTCTCCACTCTGCGCTGGTGTTTCACACTGCAGCTGCTCCAGAGGCGGTCGTGCGCAAAAAAACAACCCCAGTCGCTGTCACAGCCGAGCAGCCGCTGTCACCCAGGTGAGGTTGAGTTTTTTGGGCCTGTGTCGGAGTCACGTGTAAGCGGAACTCACTCTGATTCTCCTCATTGCGGCGACTATCTCCATGCGGCTGCCGGGGCGACCCACCTCCAAACTGCCAATGTACTGCAAAAAAAAAAGAAAAAGAAGGTTTAGGTTTGGTTGGTTTTTCAGGGAGGGAGGGGTTAGGATCTTATTTATTTGAAACCTACAAACCCTTGCAACTGTCCTGAGCCACCTCTTTTTCTTTATATATTTCCAAGAAAAAAAAGGAAATAAGTAAAGTGATTCATTGAAACAACCAAAAGTAATGAGAAAAACGAGATATTGAGAAAAAAAAGAGAGACATTTAACTCAACATGAGAATCATATTAAAGGCCGACCGATACCGGTGGCATTTCGGCACAATGTGCTGATAAATTAAAAGTTTTCAGGCCATATATGTTTTGGAATGAACTTCATTATTGTAAAAATGTGTGACAAACTTATAGATGCAAATCAAAAATTATGGGGAAAAGTGATGGGTTTTCGCAACAGGCTCCTACGCTCTTCTACGCTCAGCTGCCGGTTACCAGTGTTGTAACTCTGTTTCATCTATTTAGTGAGTGTAAAAGCTACAGGCAAGTTTTAAAGATGAATGATACATAGGTCAGTGGGAAGCATTTTGACAGGTAAAACTTGTTTCTTTATAAATGGACAGGTACAAGGACTATAAATGTGTAAAAAGGAAGCAAAGTTAATAAAATACCCTTATAACGTTTCTGAAACCCTGTAGAAAACCCTGTGGATTGTTGGAGGCAAAACGTAAACTGAACAAATAGAAGCTCTGTATAACTAAACTGACTCAAAATAGAAAACAAAACATATAGATGACCTCTAGTCCTTTGAATGATCCTTCATCAGACTCAATATTTTCACAGAATTTGTTCCTGTTTGCATCTCACAGCCAACAGATGCTTTGAGAAAAGAGTAATATGGGCATAAAAATGGATAATCTGAAAGAAACAAAACAACTGCGAGCAAATACAAAGATAGAAAACATAAAACTACCCAAAGAAGAAGGCCAATAAGAAACGGTTGTCATTTGTAATATGTGCATAAACAAAAATGCACGGGAAAAAAAAAACGTGCAAATATAAGTGGGAGCTGTTTTTCGCAATGACAACAGCCATCTCTGCCTCCCCTCCTCTTCTAAAGCCTTAATCCTTCCCTTTACCCATTTATCCATTTATCTGTTGCAGGGGGCTGCTTACCTTCGCCTCGAAGCTCACCCCATGCTGAAACACCTCCTCGTTGTGCATGGGGACCCTCAGATCGTGCGCGTCATCCACCAAATTGTACTTGGTGACTCCCGGCATGGCTCCTCCGGTGAGGGGCTGCACTTGGTTTTACGACCGCGCTAGAGACCTGCAGATATGCGCATCCCCTCCGCCTCTCCCCTCTCCCCTCCCCTCCCCTCCCCTCTCCCCTCCCCACGGACACGCTCGCCGTTAACGAGACGCGTCACGCCAGAGGTCGCGCGCGTGGGGTCGCTGCCGTCGCGACCGGCTTGATTGGTCGTTGGGATCAATTAAGGCACGCAGGACGCAGGCGGAGGCATCCACGGATACGCCCATATCCCCTTCCTCCGGCTCTGCCGTGGTCTGACGCACGATCGAGACGCAGCGGTCTCCGCCGCCGCCGGTGTCCCGATGACGCACGCATCTCACAAAATCGCCTATCAGCCTCCGTGCACCGCGGAGTCAAACTCGGATCTATATTCTCGGAGGTGGCGATCCCTATCCAGGGGCAGAGGACGCATTTTGGCCACCAAACTGTGCGTGACAAGGTCTGACAAATGGAGGAAGAAGAAAGGCTCTTACTTTGTGGACAGCTGTCGGCTATCAGCTGTTTTTGTGTGTGTGTGTTGTTCTTTTTTGGCTTGCGTGACATCTAGTGGCATCACGGGGTACAAACCGACTCTCTACTCCAGCTGAATCCCAGGAGCCCCCAGAGAGCCTAAAAATGTTCCTTCCCTTTTAGACTAGCATTTGTCTTCTGTTTCCACAAAGTTCACGTGACATTTATATAGTTGCTTTTAATGCAAAATATGGATTCAAGTATCATCAGATCAGTTTTTTGAATATTTGTTCTTCCATTATCTACACTCATCACTGTCTCAACAACAAGATGTGTTTTAAACTAAAGGGTCCAGCTGAGCATTTATGTTCAGGTTTAGCTGGCAATGAGGCATACGTTTAACTTTAGATTCCATCTCAAGTGAATCAGATATCAAAAGGGTAAATAAATTATGGTTTAAGGATCAGAATCAGAATCAGCTTTATTCGCCAAGTATGTGTGGCCGTTTAAGGAATTTGACTCACTTCAGTGGAGTTACATACAAAATAAAAAAAAAATCTGTTTTTAGTATAACTAAATAAAGTATAACTAATTAGTATAACTAACTAAATATATGTACATGAGTGCAGGATCCTGTTAGAAATAATAGTATGGTACTCACCAGATTCTAAAAGAGGAATACAACTCCATATCACACCCTTTGCTTCTCTAACTGAAAAGAAATTGAGCCATAAATACAGAGGCAGTGCACGGAGCAGCCATCTTTAGCAAAAGTAAATTGAGGTAATTGTTTTCAGTATGATGTCATCAGCCCTTCCGGGGACCTTTCTCTGTGACGTGTGAATGATCTCCCCGTGTCTTCTTGGGTTCCCTCCCGGTTCTCCAGCTTTCTCCCACCATCCAAAAAACATACATGTGAGGTTAATTAGACACTCTAAATGAGTGATTGTGGTTGGATGGGTAATCATCCCCATGGCAACAGTAAAGTTTTTGTGATTAAGGTTGTGTTGAACTGGTTTCCCCCCCATATTCCTTTATTTAGAATTGTTCCTTAATATAATAATGACAAAGTACATCATTTTTCTCATTGTAACAATTTTGTGTGATTCACATAACTTTGAGTTATTTTACATTATTGATTTATTTTATTTTATTTTAAAAGGAGGTCTTTAAAATATACAATGAAACCTTTCATTATATTTGTGTCAATTTGCCTTTAACATGTTTATCCAGCAGATGGCAACAGTGGTCTTTGAAATTCACTGGATGTCCCACACATGGCAGATAAAGTCCAAACTTAAGTAAGACTTTCAGATTTGATGTCAATCATAAACATTTTTACTCTTCTTGTTCTTTTTTTAATCACTCAGAGCACTTTTTTCTTCAATCTCCCACACTCGTATCTGGTATGTGTTTGTCTTCTTTACTGACCCCAATCATTTTTAAAAACAAACAAACACACACATATACACACACACACCCCCCCCCCCCCCCCACACACACACACACTCACACGTACGCACTCTTCTCTTCTTTTGGCAAGTGCACAGCTGCCCTTTTTTCCAGGGACAAACTGTACTCTGAGATCCACTTGAAGGATAACAAAAAATACAGAATGAAGCGCCTGAGGGTCCTTTTTTTGTGCAAATTGCCCCATTTGTAGTATTTGAGGTTTGGAAGGAGCATCCAGTTCCTGCAGCTCGAGTGGGGCGATAGGTGCCGTGTGTTCACAGTCACACTGTGGCCATTTCCCCCCTCTGCTTTCCTGAAACACTCTTTTTCTTAATTAACAATTTAATGGAACACATCCCAACTTTGGCTGACACACTTTTGGTTCCGTCTAACTGTCTCTGTCCTTCAAGTTGCAAAAAAAACCAGTGCCAATTTCTACCATGACTATTTGATAATTACCCCAGTACTCTAATCTCAGAGCTCAGCACTGGACAAACAACACTCAGATGTTGCGTTGCTTGTCCTGGCAAGTGATCACTTACTTTGAGACCTTCATTGCTCATTGGCGGTCAATTACAAAACTTTTCCTGCTGGACTTTTTGAGGCAGCTGAGTACATAAACGGACCTAATAAGTCTAAAAAGCCTCGGGCCGGGGGAAGTCACCCTGCTATTGCAAAATGCATTTGTCATGGTTGCTTTGGATGAGGGTGGCAGCAGTGTGACTGCATGTCACACTACTTCCTGTGTTTTCCGCAAGCAAAATAGATCAGATTATAAGCAGCAACCATTCTCAGAAAAAACAGGGAAGTTCATATGAAGCCAATACTGAGCCAACAGTCACTGAGGTCACATAAGACTTTTGGGATTTCCCAAGACTGAAGGAAAAAGTGAAGGAAAACCGGATTGCGACTGTAAACAAAGTACTGCAGGAGTGACAAAAGAAACCAGCTAGGTGTGTGGGACCGCAAAGGTGACATAAAAAACAAAAGAAGCTCCTACGTATGCATCCATTGCCTTTGAAGCACTATGTCTGCCAGCTGGCAACTCTTTCCATGAGGTCAGGCATCTGGAAACGTATCAACATCACGCATTGACATAAAATCGATGGAACGAAAATAGAAGAGAGACAAACCTGCTAAAAAAAAAAGAAAAAATATCACTTACCAATGTAAATGTGATAAGGAAAAAACAAACTAACAGGGAGGAATCTGAAGGACTTCCCACATGTGCAAAAGATGGTACTCTGGCCTCACTTTTAAATTGATCATTGAATATACAGCATGTGACGTACAAATTACACCTCTCATCAGCTAAAAATAACACATGGAGGCACGGTGGAGGCAGCATCATGCTGAGGGGATGCTTTACATTAGGTAGACCATAGGAATAACTAAGGCAGAGGCTCACTGTGGGGACAGTCCTGAGTTTGGTTAACATTGACACATTTACATGCTTCTGAGGGGTCTGGAGCTAATACGACTTGAAACTCAGTAAACGGGTCACGACATGCGAATGCTTTTCCAAATGTTAATACAAGCGGAAGTTTTAATTGAGGCAATTTCGACCTGTTGCCAAAATCTGTCTGGTGTGTCTTATTGGTAAGGTCACATCAACAGTGTTTGTCTGGGCTGATTTACATTTCAATTAATTGGACATGGAAAATGTCGTAGAGCAGTGGAAAATTCTGAGGTCAGGTAATGGTTTAAAAGCCGGAAACGGCTTGTGAAGCAACTATTTACAGAAAGACTAATTTTCTGTAAAAGGCCACAATAAAAGTTGTTTGGTACAATTTAGGGTTGGATAAAAGCATCACCGTAAAAACTTTTACAAGATGCTTTAAGGATGTGCGTTGTCCAAAAAAGGCAAACTATTTCTGTAATGACCAGAAAGTGCTGAGCTTGACATTTTGCACATAGATAATTTAAATCTCTCTAAGTTTATGATTGTCTGCTTAAAAGGGGTCTTTTTAACCCCAGCTCTTTCTTCCTGTTTTTTGTTCTTGTCTAGATTCCATTAACTTGATGACATATGACAGACTGGGGAGCCTCTTATTTGTTTATGACGTTCGAGTCCATTTTATAAATGTCACCATTTGTATCAACCTAACTCATGTAAATCGCAGTCTAGATAATCAACACTCAAATAAATGGAGGGAAAACCTCTTTATGAAGTAAACTGTCCGGCTTCCAGGAAGGCCAGCTTGTTTTATTATTTGCATTTGATGTGAGGAAAAAAAATTCCCGTCAATGATATTATGGGAAGGATCATGTATAATACTCAAAGTCTGTAACAAATCCATGAGATAAAACATCAGGTAGTCAACCACACTCATGACGTTTCTTGTAGAAATGGCTCTTATAAAGAAGCTGTTTTAGCTTCCGTCACAGAAAGCCGAGTCTCTTTTCGGTTAAAAAAAGAATTCTTTAAAAAGACAAAACAGGGCTTTCTCATACCTATGTAATTATACCTATGTATTTGGGTATGTATTCCCACAGTTTTTAAAGCTTTGACCATGAGTGATATAAACAAATACGGACTGAAGTGTGTCATACAAGAGGAAGTAGTAGATTCATCTATGCAAAAAAAAAGTGAAATATGATCATAGGCCCAGCTGGTCAAGTAGGCTTCCTCCTTTGCTGCACTATGTATTCATAGTTATCCTTGGAAATACGAGCAGAAAACAAAGCACAAGCTTTTTCTTTGGCATAGTGAGTCACTGTAATCACCATAAGCATTGAGTGGCTTTTGTCTTTATTTGCCTCGTGTAATAAAACAACGCACAGCAGATCCTAAAGTTACCATCGCGCATCTCAAGTTACCGGTTGAACATGTCACCGAGCAGTTTGACTTCTGCAACAAGTGGACACAAAGGGGTCTATTTCCAGCTCATTTTCTCCCACTTTGCAATCCAAATGTAATGGAAATGGCTTGGAGCTCTTGCAGTGTAATTATTTTACACTGGAGGCTGGGATGGGAGCAGTCAGCTGAGCTACATTTGTTGCCTCGGCAACCTGGTTGCCACGACGACAGGTCTTTGTTGTCCCTTCACTCCAAGTTTGAGCTCAG